CCAAGCGCCACACTCAACTGAGTGCGCCACTGGGCCAGCCCACAAGTTTTCTTCTAATCCTTATACAGTTGCTTCTTGGAAAAAAAAATTAATTTTTTTCACACATATTCCCTTAGATGGTATTTAAATTACAAAACAAAGTTTCATTTCATTGGGGACTGTCAAACGTCATATTGCTCAAGTTACAGTAGGACAGTGCCTGGCACACAGCAAACTCTCTGAAATATTTGTTGAGTTAATAAATGAGTGAACAAATGCAGCAGACATACTGGTGAGGCTGGGGAACAGAGGAATGGGGAGAGAGAGAGGACGGGGGTGGAGAAAACAGACGCAGCTTTTGATCCCCTCAGGGTTCACTACTTAATTGTGGGTTATCCAGGATAAACTTAAAATTGAACCAGCATCGTTCTATCACAAAACCTTCGTCTTGGTAATTTCCTCCTCTGTTAGCTCTTGGGTATCTGGGAAATGAATACACAATAAATTTAACATCGAATCTTAGTAAAGCAAGCATATCCGTGAATATCAGTGTGGGTAATGTGCACTGTACCCCCAAATAACATAGAAATGACTTCTGGTTTATATGATGCTTTCAAAAACGTGTTCTTCATGGCCCACTTCATTCTAAGTGTCATGAGACACAAAAATGCCTACATCATAGCTCTCCTCCTCCAGGAGCTTATGAGACTTGAAAATAATAATAAAAGGACAAGTGACTATAAATCTTCACAGAAAACATGATTCTGTGAGTTTAGAGCAGAAGTAGAGTACATCAAACTGAGGTTACAGAGTGTAAGGCCCTGATAGAGGGGTCATTGGGGGTCTCAGTCTTTCATGAGATAGGGCTTTGCTGAGAGTGACCACAAGGTCAGAGTGTTGGGGACAGCTGCATCCGAGGGCAAACATGAGTCCAGGCCAGGGTGAAGGGACAGGTGAAGATGCCTGTGGTAGGAGAATCCAGGATGTGCGACCTGAAAGACTGGAAGCGGCGGTGCTGATTTTTTATCTAGCTGAGTTAGAATCAGGAGGGAGCTCCTTGTGGGTTGAGAGAGGTGAGAAGATCAGCGTGCTGAGAGGACACCAGCCAGGTGCTGGAGGTACTGCGGAGCCCCGGAGAGTGTCCTCCCCAGAAGTCACTAATGACTTGGATACGGACGGCAGAAGCAATTGAGAGCAAGGGTAACATTACCATCTCTAGCTCCCTTGATGTGATAAAAGAGAAGGAGTCTTTCCATAATACTCAAAATAAGTTGACTGTGGAAGGTAGACAGAGACTGGCTTGTGTGTTGGCTGTGCCTGCCAGGAGCAAGCAAAGGTTCGTCTCACAGCAGATGCTCACTTCAGTGCCTTGACTAGGACTCGTTAGCAGAGAATGAACACTAGCACTGCCCGACGATTAAGAGAACCAGCTCCAGCCTCCCAGAAGAGTCTGGGCTCTTCTGTCACTTTGGTAGAATGCCCTGAGTAGAATGTCACTTCACCTCTGAACTTCAGTGTTCACATTAGTCAAATGGGAAAAGTTAAAGCTACACATGGTAGGCACTGGCCTAGCACTGCCTATAGGGAACGATTCCTGCAACTTTGTTTTCTTCATGTGCATCTTCAGTTTTCTGCTTTGTCTTGTATATGGGTTTCCCAGAAGTTGTTTTTAAATTAAAATTTTGAAAATCATGTCATATAGCAAATGAAGTGGAAAAAGTGTTTGAAGGAAGCTGATGTTAAAAATTATTTTATTAAATGGAGAATCCCTTTGCATAGCAAGTAATTATTCTTATGGTTTTCCCATTTTGTGAAAGTTACTCTTGTAGGTTGAATGAAAATTTTAGATATGTAAAATAAACATTAGTGATCCACCTCATTCTCTCATTTCCATGATTTTGTGGGCCAGCAAAGAGTTGGCTGGACAGCTTCTGCTTGGGGTTTCTTGAGGCTGTGGTCATCTGAAGGCTCAGCTCATGACCTGCCAAAGTAGCCCTGCTACCAGTGGTGCTGCCTGTGGCCTGGGAGCCCTTTGGGACTGTCAGAGTGCCTGCATGTGGCCTCTCCAGTGCAGCAGGTGCAGGGTCGTTAGGCCACCTGGTGGTTGGCTTCTCTAAGACGAGCTTCCCAAGGGAAAGGTAGAAGATGCGGATACACGGTGTGCCTTCTGCTGCGTCCTGGTGGTGGCACGTAAGTCATCAAGGCTGGCCACCCCACCTCATGATGGAAGGAGTGTCAAAGATTTGCGGATATGTTTTTAATTCACTACATCTGACTGATTGTAGATGTAAGAAGTCAGAGAGGAGGAGGAGAGAGGTGAAAGTCCACTTTACCTCTTTATGTGTTCCTGTGTCCTTGCTCTAGAAAGATTCTTTCTAAATATCAGATCCATCACGCAAGAAGAATTCTACCAAATTTGTTGAAGCATCTTACATGACTAGACCCAATAGAAAGTCTCTGATGTTAAGAAGTAACAGTTGTATTTTTCTTTTTTTAAAGTTTACATCACTGCTCAAAATTCACTTTATCGTTACACTGTAAACCAGCTGGACTATGTCTACTGAGTAATCACTCTGATGTTCTAAAGCAATTGATTATTATTTAGACAGAATGGAAGCACGCATTTCATTATGGAAATGGCAGAGCACATTTCATTACTGTAGTAGAATGTGTTAAATGGCTGTACTCGCAGAGATAGGTGGTTTTACCGAGTGCAGATTTAGAGTTCACACAGACAAGAGGAACCACTCCAGGTATTCCCCTAGGTGGGGTGATAGGGACCCCTCTTCTGTGCTTTTCCCTTGACACTAATGGATACCTTTACCAAGCAACTCTTGGATTATAGCACCTCTTGGATTCCAGGGAATCACAGTGCTTTTCTGATATTTTAAGAAAAAATACATCTCCCCGTCAGAAGAACTTTCAGCCTACTCTGGATTCAGTTTTTGAAAGCTGCTGTCAAGGTTTAGTTTTTCTCAGTATTAGAAACTTTTTTTTCCAACAAAACATTCATAATCCCAGCAAATATGTTAATTTTTTAAAAGTCCATCAGTTCAAGGTTTCTCCCATTCTCATAAGATGACTTCAGAATTCGATGGCATTGGATAGGGGCGGGCAGCTGCCAGGGAGGCATTGGATAGGGGCGGGCAGCTGCCAGGGAGGCATTGGATAGGGGCTGGCAGCTGCCAGGGATCTGCTCCCCAGTGGAGACAGCATCCTTGCAGGTGTCTTCTACAGTGCCCCTTTCCACCTCAGCCTTATATCTGATTCAGCTGGCCTTGTGCATGACTTACTCCTACGAATCCCTGGTAACTCCAGGGCCTTTGCTTTTGACATTCCAGTCCCTTGTCTCTGCTTTTCTTTTGTCTTCTCCTCTTTTCACTGAATATGGTGAAAAGCAAAGGAATATAAGAAAATATGGGGAGATAAACCTAGTTAATGTGAATCACTGCACATTAGGTTTTGTGACTTGTTAAAACTTGATGTGCAGGGCCGGCCCGGTGGCGCACTGCTGTAGTGCGCCGCTTGGGAAGCGCGGTGGCGCTTCCGCCGAGGGTTCGGATCCCACATACAGACCGGCCGCTCACTGGCTGAGCGAGGGGCGGGAGCAACACCGAGGGTTGCGATCCCGTGGCTGGTCCCGGCCCGGTACGGGCGTGACACTGAGGGTTGCGATCTGTTGCCGGTCACGAAAAAAAAGACAAAAAGGAAAAACAAAACAAAAAAACTTGATGTGCATTCATACAGATGTCATTGAAGAAAATAATTGTCTTTTTTATAAACTTAGTTCATATAATTTCATTTTTCAGGTAAACTGCGCCTCTTGGGAAGCGCGGTGGCGCTCCCGCCGAGGGTTCGGATCCCACATACAGACCGGCCGCTCACTGGCTGAGCGAGGGGCGGGAGCAACACCGAGGGTTGCGATCCCGTGGCTGGTCCCGGCCCGGTACGGGCGTGACACTGAGGGTTGCGATCTGTTGCCGGTCACGAAAAAAAAGACAAAAAGGAAAAACAAAACAAAAAAACTTGATGTGCATTCATACAGATGTCATTGAAGAAAATAATTGTCTTTTTTATAAACTTAGTTCATATAATTTCATTTTTCAGGTAAACTGACTTAGTTGTCAGCAAAGTTATCTTCAGCTACATGTGAGAAAAACATTGTTTTAATGTCCTGCTCATATAAACAGCAGAGATTATCATATACATTTTTTAAATTATGGTGAATTTTGCTTATCTCAATAAATTATGTTATTTTGGGTGAGAGAGTTCTGAGGAGGAAGTTAAGCACCTTCTCTGTCTCTCATTGAGCAAGTGTTGAAAGAGGTCTTTTATATACCAAGCTCTTATTATTGACTATTTTCAATGTGTTCTTTTTTTACTTTACTTATTTTTAATTGACATGTATTCATTATGCATGGGGTACAGAATTATATTTTAATACACACATGCAGTGTGTGACAAGCAAATCAGGGTAATTAGCATATTCATCATTGCAAAAATTTATCATTTCTTGTAATGAAAACATTTGAGCTCCTCTCTTCGAGTCATTTGAGAATATACAATATATGATTGTTAGTAGATGCCTAGCACTACTGTATACCACTAGAACTTCTTTTTCCTATCTGTAATTTGTGTCTGTTAACCGCCCTTTCCCTGTCCCCTCTCACCCTCCCGTTCCCAGCCTCTAGTAACCACAATTTTGCTCTCTATTTCTATAAGCTCAACATTTTTTTTAGCTCCCACATATGAGTGAGAATGTGGTATTTCTCTTTCTGTGCCTGAATTATTTCACTTAACATAATGTCTTCCAGGCTCATCCATGTCGCCACAAGATGACAGGATTTCATTCTTTTTATGGCTACGTAGTATTCCATTGTGATGTGTACCACGTTTTCTTTATTCATCCATCTCTCGATGGAGTCTTTCTTTTGGTTGTCCTATGGGTCTGTGACGTTGAGGGCACAATGGATCAGGTCAGTTACAAAATATCATTCATGATGTTCTTTTTTTCTTTCTAGTGTCTATCAAATAGTTGTTGAGGATGAACGTCCTCGAAGAGCTAAGAAGACAACGGAAATCTTAAAGTGCTACCCAGTGCCGATTCACTTCCAGAATGCTTCAATACTGAATTCGCAGTACTACTTTGCTGCAGAATTCCCAGCAGACAGCCTGCAGGCTGCTCAGCCCTTCACTGTTGGTGATAATAAGACATACAACGGATACTGGAACACTCCCCTTCTCCCCCATAAGAGCTACAGAATTTATTTCCAAGCTGCTAGTAGAGCCAATGGGGTAAGTTTGATAGATGACTATTTACCTAGGCTATTTTGGGTTATTAATGTGAACACGGATTAGTAAGATAGTAGTAAAAAGTGAAGTCATGCTTTTGGTGTGTTTTGACTTATAAAAAATATTTTTCTCTTTTTGAAATTATTTTCATCTAGAAAAATTTATGGGAAAAAATGAACGTTATTCATCTCTTTTTTTTCCAGTTTTTTCTTGTTACCAAAAGTTAGCTAATAATTCTGGTTAGCTTACTATTTTACAGGAAAATAGAATAGTTACAACACATACATCCAGCTCATTTAAAGTTTTGTGAAATTCACAACATCTGTCTTTTCAGCATATTCTGTCCTATTTCTTTAGTTCCACAAGAGTTTATGCTTCCTATAGCTGTGACTAAATTAGGTATCCTTTTGTTTTCTAAGAGAAAGCAGCTTTAGAAAGTTGAGATGGAAACGGAATAAAAACTTAAAAACTATCATTGAGTCATTTCTGAATTTTTTCCATTTCCTATTCAAATCAACTCAGAACTGTGATAAGATTTTAAAGTCTTCTTAGACAGATGGAAACACTTTCCAGATACCACAGTGGTTTCCCTCCCTCACAGCACAGGTCTGGGTATCATCACGGACTTGACTTTTGCCAGTGAAAAGGTGGAAATCAAGATGCAGAGTTCTCCAGTGCTGTTTGCACAGGGAGCAAGTGTGGGCCTAGAGAAGGTGGTCAGGGGCCACCAGGCAGAGACACTTTGTGTCTACCTTCCGGCTCATCATCTGATCTAGAAATGCCTGATACCATCAACACTGGAGCCAGAAAATATATGTAAGCGGGGCTCAGAAAGTAATCATTGTGTGATTTAAGCCACACTTGGAACAATGAGGTCTTTCCTTATCATTGTATTTAAATAGAGCTACAGATACCTCTGTTTTAAATAAAACATGAATAATGATTTTTCCCTTCTTTATTTGACACAGGAAACCAAAATAGACTGTGTTCGAGTGGCCACAAAAGGTAGGTTGAAACGGTGGGATGCTTTCCTAGTTCATGTCCCTTAAATTTTATTTTAGATTGTGTTACAAAACTTCTTGATATGTAACCTCATTGAAATAAGTGGGTCCGTCTGTGTATATTATACCTATGTGCGTGTTTGTGTGTAAGTAGGTAGGTAGGTATGTATCAGGATCCTATGGCAGTTAACACTGACCGTGTTTTATGTAGATACTTTTTAAAATAAGAAGCCATACTGCTATGTTCCAAGCAGTTTCCAATGGTTATCTTCTTAGAAATTCTTTTAAAATAAGATTAATTTTTATATGATCTCAGTACACATTTTTTAAACCATAGGGCCATTCCTGGTAGTACTGTATCTAGTGAATCTTCCTATGCGAAGGAGTAAAATATTACCTGCTATTTTTAAGCAGTGATCTAGTTTTAGTAGCACTGTAACGTGGAGTCTACATGGGCTTTGTCACTGATGATATTTGTCTCTCTGGACCCAGTAACTAGGTGATGTTATTGTGTAACTTCAGTTTCCCAGGCCTGGTTAAAATTCTGAGAAAATGTGATCAAGGATGAGCTGTAAAAGTGGGTAGGGTGAATCACCGATGCTCCCACACAGCCCTCCTCAAGAAGAAAGTACAGATATGTGTTTGTGTATGTGAGCGGTAGTAGCTTATCAGCCTTACAGTGGGGGCTTACCATCACATGTGGGAGTGTACAAGAAAACGCTTGGAGAATTTTAAAATGCTGTATTAAAATGAGGCATTATAAATTAACACTTGTAGTTAAATACACTCTTTCAGACCATTAAAGTAACCTTGAGCACAATGAAAAAGTTCTTTGTGATTTAATTTAGAAATGATGGTAAGAAGGCATCTTTGGCTCTGTGGCATGAGATTTAATTTACTTGATGAGTTCTGTTGGATAAAAATACCTTTTTGTTGACAAAAAACATAAAAATAACTTTCAGGTGACATAGTTTAAATATAACAAAGAGGTACATCTGCATTTCCAAACTTGTTACTGAATTCTTTTTTCATGAAAGTACATGTCTTTTTTACTCAGCGTTAGCTCCACGAGTATTTCTTGGTTGCGTGCTACGGGCCAGGCATTTGTTTGTGAGGTGCTCACCTCGTGTCTGCCCTGTCCTCGTGGGCTTGTAGCTCTATTTCCAAGAATCTACTTACACTAATTTTCAAACACTCCATTGTTTATTTCATATTATAGCTGACTGAGTGCCCGTATTTATAGGAATACACTAATGGTAAATGGCATGATGGCTGTCGATGTGCTTCATACACCACCATATGCTATCAGCTGCTCACTATCATGGCCTCACGAAGCCCTTGCACCAGGGATACATTCATGCACGCGGGCCTTCAGGTCATGGCCCATGCTCAATAACAGCGATTCCAGAATATTGCTTTATTACATCCCACTTACTCTTAAGGTCTGAAAAGGTAAATCCAGTCCCAGGGTGCCTAATTTATAATGCCTTATGTTTAACATCACAGCCGAAAGTTTTAAAATCCCTCTCAGACATGTGTTCTCATTTATTTCTTCACCATTACTGTTAAAAAGGATTTAAGTACTGCTACACTCATGTTTAAAATAAAGAAATGTGGGTTTTTGGAGATGAATTGACTTGCCAAGGTCACTCAGCTAATAATCTGTAGGTCAAGGCTTCATCACAAACATTTGGATTCCTGCCCGCAGTGTTTCTTTCTCTGTATCTCATGGCTTTCCACCCAGCACAAACTCTGGCCCGTTACAGCACTCTGTAGTATAGCATCTGATCTCCCCTTTATTACAATTGAGTCACTTCCCAATTTACTCTGAAAACAATGAATTATCTGTCATTGTGCTCATTTACATAGTTAAATAATTATATAAATAACATTAGTAAATATGGAAACCTGACAAGTTTGCTGTTTTCACAATAGATTGAATTAGATGGTGATTTGGATCATTTTCTCCCATCAGCTAGATTTCATCAATATTGTAATTTGTTTTTCAATTCACCAAAGGATGATTAGGCAATCAGATGACCTGATTGACTAAATATTCTCCACTCATATTTTCTGAGTCATTTGCAAACATTTACACAGCAACAAATTCAATACAATTAACCTCTTTCAGCAGGGAGAAGGAAACAAGTTTTAATATTTACTACATAACATTGTCATTTCTGTTTCACACAGTCTTAGTGCAGGAGGAAACGTTGGGAGATTTTCTCCATCCAGGCAGAACTACACTGTTTTATGCTATTGTATTAAGTCCTATGTCAACAGATTCAGCAACCCTCCCTAAAGTTTCTACTCCTGTATAATCAGAAAAAGTTTCCTTATTCATACTAGAAATTCTTTTTGCAGCATGGGAAGTCATTCCTTCCCAATTGCTTAGTCAAAACAGAGAAATGGGGAGACCTAATAATTTTATTGGTACCACGTAGTAAAGATGTTTGAAATTTAAGAGTTCAAACATCCTGAGTGTGTTTTGCCACATATTGCTGATAGTGTGGTGGCTTGAGTTTTTAGATACTAAACCACTTTCCTGAGCAGCATTTTGAATTTACAAAGATTTCAATGTTCCCAGGAAACAACTATTGACATGTATCTTTACAGAGAAAGTATGGAGGTGGATTTGTTTTCACAAAGAGCTAGTTTGTAATTTCAAGTTAAGGGTGATTATTTTAATCTTATTTCAAAGGTATATTATGACACTCTTCATGTCAAATATAAAGTCTCATAAAATTAGACGCAAGAAAAAAAGCAAGGCGTGTTGTTACATATTTCCGTATGTGTGGGGGATTGCTTATATTTTTATGTATCCTCCTTTAATTTATGTATCTAGATGAGTTCCCCATAGGTACCTGTAACCATAGGTTGATTATTGACTATAAACCAACTCAACACAGTTTTCTCTCTTGAGTTACTTGATGTTTGAATGTTACCCTCCCAATTCAAAGGATTCTTTTTCATCTGTAGAGTGGAGTGAATAGAATAGCTTTTAAATATTCTTAGATTCTCCAAAATTGTGTTTTGTTTCTAATCATGTTCACATTTTTACAGATGGATTCTTTTTATGACCATTTGTTCCAACTGTGTCTTAGTAATTAATTTATGTGTTTTCGCTAACTTTTATACCCATTATGGCTGCCTTGTGGTAACTGGTGGGGTGGGAACTCTTCTTTATTCTTGCTTTAGAATAGGCTTTGTTGATGATCAATTCTAAACTGACAGGGCACACTTAAAAACCAACATCTGTCCTAATAGTAAACTAAATATCTTGTGTTAAATGAGATATTCATTCTATTTGAAAAGTCAGTAACAATCAATATAAACTATATATATTACAGATTAACAATATTTCCATAGTATGATGCCACCTATGTTTCTCCTTGACAGTATAGGCATTTGGGAGCTTTCCAGTTACCCATTTATTTAAAAAATGATTATTTGAGGCATAGAGCAATCTGTAAGATTTCCAAGTACAGGTATATAAATATATCAACTCAAATTTTGAAGATTTTGAGTTCATTAAATTATTTTGTTTTTTGTTTTGTTTTGTTTTTGGTGTGTGGGGGCTGGTCAAGTACCTTCCTGAGGGCACTTCAAGAAGTTCATGGAAACATTCATATGATCTTTTAATTCTACTTTTCCGTGGACTTTTTGAAGTATGCTGATATGTTAATTTGTTCCTCTCCTTGCTATGATTTGGCTAACAGCAAAACAAAAGCTGTGTAAACACATGCTAAATTCTTTCCAAAAGTATTAGAGAAGTCAGACTGTAAACCTTAAACAAAAAGAAAACAAATCATTATTCCATTGTTATATTTTAACCTGAATTTTCTGTGAAAAAACGTTCCACTGCTTGTAAGTTTAGTATTTAACTTAAATGTGTACTGGAATGTGAATATGCTTTGCTGGAAGACCTTCAGGAAACTTTGAAGGATTTCCATTGTTTTCATATACTTTCTAACTATATTCAGAAATTTTAATGTTTCTTTTTTTAATCGCTATGCTCTTCGAGAAGTTTCTTGAGACTGTTTTTCTGTTCACTGTTTTCTTCAAAAAATGCCATCCTTCCTAGGCCATAATGCTACGGAATGAAAATATGCTGATAAAAGAAATGAAAAGAATGTCTGTTGAGATGTAAAACTAATTATTCATTTTAATTACTCATATTCAGTACACAAGAAAACAAATTATATAGTAAGACCACTCATATATGCTAATCTGCTATTACTTAGGCTATGCATTTAGAAATAGGAACATATATATTTATCAATCAGCATTTTATAGAGAAAACTTTTTCCTCAATCTGAAATAGTTATTATAATGTGTACATTAAGGCTCTCTGAGAAGTTCCTAAAGAAAAGAAACCTAAAAACCCTATGCTTCCCAAATATATTAGAACCAAACTCATTTTTCAAGAAACACCAGACTCATGCAAAATGCAGTTTGATGAATGCTAGTTCAACAAATTTCCTAACTACATATCCTAACTACATGAAACTGAAATGGCAGTTAGATATCTTATCCACTGTATTCGTTACTGTCCATCAGCACCAGATTTGTCTTCACGGTAGAGGACTGGAATTTCTGACTTCATTTTACCATATTTATTGATATTCTCTTTTATAACATAGTCTTATTGATAAAAATTTTAAGGCAGGGTCAGCAAACTGTTTATATTAAGAGCCAGATAATAAATATTTCAGGCTTCATGGGCCCTGTGGTTTCTGACACAACTACTCAGCTCTGCGGTTGCTGGACAAGAGCAGACATAGTTGATCCGTAAACAGTTGAGCATGACCATGTCCTGATAAAACTTTATTTGCAAAAGCAGGTGGTGGGCCAGTAGGGAGTTTTAAGGTTATTTGTAACATAATTATACTTTTTCCTTGCAACTAAAAGCAATAGTCACAAATAAACACTTTACAAAGAGAAAATAGAGATCATATAAAAATGTTTCCTGATATTAGTAATGTACTTGTTACGTGGTATTCTTAGCCTCTGATTGTAGTTTGAATTCCTTTTCATTTGTGAATATTTGGCTGCCCAGCATAGCTATTTTCAAGTGACTTTTTATTCATACTGTTTACCTTTTTGGATGTTAGACAAGTGCTCTGTTTTTCAGGAAGGTAGTATTTTTATCAAAAGTAGAGTAGGTTAGATTTTCCAGTGGGTAATGCCAAACCTCATACAGGAGTATTGGTTGAACAACAGTAGTCTATGACTAAGCAAAAATGTTACATGTCTAAAACTTGGAATTTGTATCAATTTTGTAACAAGCCTTAGAAATAGCATTTTACTATGTACAACTTATTATATCAGCATGCAAAATTATATAATATGTCATATCAAGAAAATTATCTTTGTAATGCATCGGGAGCTCTCCATTCTCTGACAAAACTGTTTGTTAATCTCAATTAGCAAAACTAGAATGTTTTCATTAATAATGTGTGAAAGAATGTTATACCGATTTTAAACTCAGTTGCTCCAATTGTCTGGCTATAAGGAGCAGCACTATTTGAATGGTTCAGAGGGATATTTCAAAATATTATGCAGCAGCAGTTTTGGGTTTAATTGTCTGCAGATGGTAGATGATCTATTTTCCTTACTCACTGCCACAGTTCTAATAGCACCCAGGCTGTTCCGTGTAAATTAGTAATCTTTCATGTAAGCCTGTTCTTAATTTTCCAATATTTTTTTCTTTGCATCATTTTCCAGCTGTATCATGTTAGAACTGACATTTTAATTTTCTATTTTTTTCCCTAATATCTGTGTGTCATAAATGTTAACCACTTAAACACAACTGCTGAGCTGTACAGACTTCTCAGTTAGCCTGCTTCAAGAATTTTAATGATTTCCTTGGTCACATGTTAACCATGACAACTACAGCAAAGACAATTAGTAGTTTCTATTTTTTTAACCAATACTTTGAGATGCATTTTTTATTCTCTAACGTGGAATTATTTTTTCACCTTATTTGGTTCCTAAATGAAAACCTGAATGAAATTTAGTTATCAGAGAAATTTCTCTACACAAAAGTGTTTTTAGTGACAGAGGATAATATTCTTCACAAAGGTGATTTTAGCAAGAAGAGAAAATATTTACTTAAGCAACAGAATTTTAAATAACCTAATAAATTTTAAAAGCCTAAAGTTTGGATCATTCAAATGAGCAATGAATCTTTAAGCATCACACTCGATTGCAGTTGGAAACACTATTCGATCTTCAGCTTTATTTAGGACTAATATTCTTGGTTTTGTTATACTTTTTTTTTTCCTTCAGTTGATCTATTCAAGATCTCAGCCAAAGCTTACAACTGTGTCATAGTTAGAAATCCAACTGCCTGACTAGAGCTTAAGAGAAGTCAGAAAATGCAACACTTTGCTGTGGTTTTAGTTTTCTTTTTTTTCCTTTTCTTTTTGTTGTTGGAACAAACTTGAGATGATTTGATATACTGACGGGGATTCTTCTTGCTAGCCTAGCTTCAGTCTGGCTTTTTTCTCCCTCATGCATGCTGACCTGGAAATCTTCCTTTGCCTTAGCTGCGATAATCGTGACTCAGCTTACAACACCTTACATTCGCATCGCCCCTGCTGCAGGCGACGGCCAACTAACAGGTCAGATGTTCAAGTATAGATGAGTCATCTTGCCCATTTCCTGCTCATTTTTCTCAGCTTTGTTTTCCCTCTACATTTCCTCCTTTGCTTAAGGCCTGTTTACAATGTTTCAGACCCTTGGTACAGACCTGTGCTCCTATTAAATTAAGTGATATGCTTGGCCTCTTCTATGTGCACATTTATATCCATGCATTAAGTACAACTCCACTGCATGTTTTCATTGTGTGTTTGGTCTGTCAGTATGTTCCTTTCTAGACTAATGTTATGTAGAAATAAAATTTGCTGGACATGCAATAGCAATAACATCAAACAGGATTGCAAACAAAATACCTAAAGATGTATTTCCAGTTTTCCAAACTTAATCTAGAATGGTGTTGAGATTTGAGGGTGAGAGAGGTTTCTTTCTCACCTTGTAGGGTCTAGTTTGCACATGCATTTAACAATACACAATCTTGTCCAGATGTATTTCCAGTTTTCCAAACTTAATCTAGAATGGTGTTGAGATTTGAGGGTGAGAGAGATTTCTTTCTCACCTTGTAGGGTCTAGTTTGCACATGCATTTAACAATACACAATCTTGTCTCCAGTGTTAAGAAATAAAAGCTTTTTGTGTACATATTTCATGTTGCAGAGCTGATTGCATTCCTTATAGATCCTTGTTTCAAAGCAAGGCATTTATATAAAGCAGTGGCACATGTGCAAGTCAAATGCATTGAATAATTTAGGAAAATTTAGAAAAATTGAATAGCTTAGAGTCATGGAGTTGAACCATGTGCTTCTTTATATCAAGAGAAATTAGCTTGTTCACTCTTATTACCTCTATAGGTGTATAGACATCTCTGTAAATTCGTATAGAAAAAAAAGTCCAGTAAATTACTCCAGATTGAAGGTGAGTAGTTAGTGAACTCAAAAAGACAAGCTTTTGTCCTGCAATAAAAGCAAATCTTTGTCAAAATGTCTAATAACATGAGCAGGACTCAGAATTCTGGTGTCAGAACGACCAATGATATTATATGTTACTGCATGTAGTTTAGGCATGATTAAAGAAAGCCAAACAAGAAACACAACTGCTTTCTGTATAATTTCCACTCCAGCAATTGTTTTTTGAGTATGAAACCAGGGAATATTCCTTAGCATTTAAGAAAATAGTAAAGCTTAAGTCATTGTGAGAAATCATAAGTGATTAGGTTGTTCGGTGAGCTTATTATTTGGGAAAATAAAGCCACTGAAACTCAGGAAAATTATACGTTGATTTTATAAGGTAAAAAAATATAGAATAATTCTACTTCCTTCTTCACTGGGATTCTATACATATTTTTAGTTCTCTGTTTCAGGGCCTAAAAGCTATAAATTTACTTACAGTTCTGTTTCCCTTGCTTTCAAGTTTCTTTTAAGCATATTTCTTTTACTGATTGAAGTTCTACTTGTTACAGACTCTTCCTTATCCTGAACTTCTGACATGTTCTTCCCACTACTAAAAGCACTTGAGGGGTGGTGTCTTACCTAACAAAAGATCTCCCCTCTAAAACCTTTACATTTAAGGACTGGGCAGGGTTCCTTGTCCATCGTGAAGGTTGTCTGGGATCCTTCAGCAAGTCTGACCCCCATTATGTTTGTGCTCCTACCTATCTTGTCAGCAAATCCTTAAAAAATGGCTTGGCCCCACCATTATACAATGAGCCTTTACAGGAAATATAGTTAAATAGCCCCTTTTCTCAGGCTTCACCTATAATCTGCTGTCTTCAGATGAAGTCTGTCGTTTACTAGGAGTGAAGTAAATGAAGCTTCCGAATATGGCTTTTTGTCTCAAACTTGCATAATTGAGAAGATACCTCATAAAGCAGCCTCCTCCACGAGGCTTTCAGTCCCCATGCGTGTTACTGTCTTGGAACTAGTCTGAGAAGGACGCACACTTAGCTGCAGTGTATGGCTCCCGTGCCTCTGAGGGCTGCAGGTGATCTACATCATTTACTTTGGTTTATTAGAGATTAAAATGATGGAGTGTCAGAATAAGCCTCAAAAACCAGTAATTTTTTTTTTTTTTTTTTTTTCAACGAAAAACTACTCATTCTTTCCTCAGTATTTACTGCTGGTTTTAATGATGGTTAATCTTACCCAGATAAATTTGCACTCAAGTAATATTTCTTTTTTTCATTTCCATCAGACATCAACTTCTATAGCCGTAACACATCTTTTTAAATAGATTTACTCATGAGACAGACTGCAAGCTTGAGACTTAATTCATTCAATCATGTATATGACATTTATTGAGCACCTTCTGTGTGCCAGGTGTGGACCTACTAACTCTTACAAAGAGTTCTGCTTTCCATGGTTGCCCAGACATGTTGTCATCGGGTATTGTTTGCATTAGTAACATCAAAATCTACGTACACATGTACTCTTCTGAATGAAAAATTCGTATTGTTATTGTCATTTAGCAAAGCTAGGAAAAGACAGCAGCTTTATAGCTGATAGGGGTGAAAGGACCTATATTTTAAAACTTTTTTGTCACGTAGAACAGGTTAGGAAATGGCCAGCGGGACAGATCTGAACATCTCATGTCTGTGACCCATTGAGCGGTTGTAGTTTTGTTTATCAGACCAACCCTGTCTCTCCCAGAGGTCAACAGGAGACACGCAGGAAGGAAACATTCGAAGTGCTGTCAGCTCTTTTCTTGTTCAGTTTGTTTTAGCTGTGCTGACATCTTGCCCCTACCCACCCTATTCAATGCTGTACTTACATTCATTGTTCCTTTTATACCAGTATGGGGTACGTGCTGGTCAGGTGTGCCTTGGTGCAGAGGGGACCTCCCTTGCTTGTCTAACACCAAAGAAAACAAGTACATTGGTGACCTGACCCCAGCACCTAGGACGGTACTGGGCACAATAAAAGTGCTCATAAATATTTGATGATTGAACTCCTTGAACGAATGGCCCTTATGTCAGGAGAGTTCCAAAGACGGACACGCTCTGACTGTAGAATGCTAGCACGTTTCATNAGGGCCAAGATACAGACAGATAATGTTTGTCCTCCCGTGGACCCCAGGTCCTCTGTTAGTGTGATGAAGATGTAACTGAAATCAGGTCTTAGCCACATCGACTAGCTGGGAGAACTGGATATGGCTTGCAGATGGTGGGATTGTTCACTGAACTGGAGCTTGTCAGTGGCAGAAAGAGCAGGAGCGAAGGTCCTGTGGTGGGAAGAACAGCAAACACCGCATCATGGCTGGTGGACAGAGGGCAAGAGTTTGCGTAGGATGAGCGGTGAGGGTGTACGGGCAGGCAGAGGCCAACCGTGACCTTGTTCGTTACACGAAGGACTTTGGTTTTGACCCAGGAGCAGAGTGGGAAGCAATTGAAGTGTCATCTGCAGGGGAAGACAGGATCAGTTTGCACTGCACACTCCAGCCACACTAGAAACATTGGACAGATGAAAAAGGCCAAAAGACTGAAAGTGAAACTCTACAAAATGGAAGACCATCCAACCACCTAGAAGAAAAGAACAGAGTGAGCGGATGTGAATAGAAGAGCTAAATGCCAGGAAATTAATACAGTTAGTACTGGCCATGGGTAATTGATCACCTGCAGTCAGCATGGAAGAGCACATGACAGGGAATTTAAGGCACAGAGTCAAACAAATCCAGGGAACTCTTTGAATCCCTTCTAGATGGAAATAGTTCCATTTGGCCCACTGCCCGAGATATCCAATTCATTTCCTTTGAGAGCCATTTACTGGGGTATATGTATGAATCAAAACTGATAAAGGATGATAAAACCCAGCAATATTGTTTGAGTATATGGACACTGAGATAAAATCACACCTCCTTTAGCTGCAGACAGTTATATTTTGCCCTTTCAAGAGTTCAGTCACTAGCCTCGTGAAAGGTTGCATCAGAGGAGATGTTAATTGTGTTTACTATAAAATATGTGTACAAATACATGGAAATATTTTTATCTACTATACAAGGGCCACATTTTATGTATCTTTAAACTTTCTACAACCTGCCACTCAGCACTTGGCATATGAAAGGCACTCAGAGACTAGCTTTTACTTTCTGATGGAATGAAGTCATTTGTAGTAGATAAAATTCCCTTGAAGTTGTG